CCATCCTACCCCTGGCAACCAGCACTAATGATCTTTTATTTCTATATATTGCTTATTTAATATAAGTGGGGTCATACAGTATTTGTCTTTTGTGACTGACTGACTTGGCTCAGCATAAACTTGTATCATGTATCAAGGTTTCCTTTATCTTTATGTTATTTGTATATTCAATGAAATATTACCATACATAATATTTTTATTTCGTTTATCATCCATCTGTTAATGGACATTTAAGTTGTTTTGGATATTTTTTAAAGTGCTGCTGTGAACAATCGTGTATTGGGTGTTCTTTTAATATAAGTCAAATCATGTTATTGCTCTGCACTAGTGGTTTTCCAAAGAAATCCTTAGTGATTTTCAAATAATGCCCTGGTAATGTACTGGTTAAGTACTTGGCTGCTAACCAAAAGATTTATGCCTCTAGTTCAACACATCATCAGCTCCATGGACGAAAACAATCTGGTGAGTAGATCCTGTAGAGATTACAGCCTAGGAAACCCTATGGCATAGTTCTAATCTGTCCTATAGGATCAATTATGAGTGGAATCCATTCAATGGCACACAACAACAGCATTGGTTTGCCACTGCATTTAGAATACCATCTCAACACCTTCTGGGGGGATTTTAGGTCCTCCATGACCTGGTCCTGTCCACTTCTTAAACCTTATCTTCTGTGATTCTCTTCTCGTTACTCAGTCCAGCCAAACAGGCCTCCTTTCTTTCACTTGGCTACATCAATTTATTTCCTGCCTCCAGGCCATTGTGCCTGCTATTCCCCTGACCTAGAATGTTCCTCCTTTGGTTTTCCTTGGCTGACCTTTCTCTCTTCCTTCAGGATTGAGCATTAGTGCCATTATAGATGTGAGGCTACCAGTGGTCACCGTGGCTAAGATTGAAGGCAAGCATTGCTTTGAGGTAAAGAAATAGAGATGAATAGGAGAGAGAAAACTAATGGCATCTTGTAAATTCCTGGTACAAAAGGAAGAAACATTTCCCTTTTTATGTTGCTAATTTGAGTTGGATGTTTGCATGTGTCATGGAAAACACCCTAATATTCTATGTGCTCCCTCTAGCCACACCTATACATACTAAGGGTGGAACTCAAATAGGTCTTTTTCAAGATTGAGTTAAATGTGTCTTCTCAGGATTTTCTTGCAAGTTTCCTCAAGGAAGGACTATAATCCTTGCCAGAGCCGCCAGACTCTCATTCCTGACTCTCCACTAAATATCTCCCTTGGCACCCTGCCTCTTCATCTTCTTTCTTTCTGTCTTCTTCCACTTCTTATTTTTTATCCTAAATATACTCAAAATATGAATATGTCTATATGTATAAATGATTTTTATAAAATTAAGATCATACCATTTTAAAAACTGCTTTTTCATTTCAAACTACAGTGTGAATATTTTCCTATATGATTTACTACTTTTTTGTAACATGATTACAAATTTCTGTGTAGTAGTCTATGGAATAGATGTAACATAATTTTGTTAGCCAGCCATCTATTATGGAAATTTTCTATTGTTTAAAATTTCCAAATAATGCTGTTCAACTACCATACTCAGAACACAGACTTTGTTCCATCACTCCCATAAGACTTCCCCTTATAGTCACACCCTCCCTAATACTGTAACCCAACCCACCCTAGACTCCTGGCGGTCATATAGTTTTGTCTTTTTGAAAAAGTCATGCAAATGGAATCATATGCATGTAACCTTTTTTAAAAAAAAAAATTTATTGTGAATTGCGTGAAGGTTTACAGAGTAGAATATCAGTTTTACATTCAAAAATCAGACTTTGTTTCACCTCATTAATTATCATCCCTCTCTGGTAGTGTAGTGGTTACGAATCGGGCTGTGAACCTTAAGGTCAGCGGTTCGAAACTACCAGCTGCTCCGCGGGAGAAAGATGAGGCTTTCTACTCCTGTAAGGATTTACACCCTCGGAAACCCTGTACAGGGTTGCTATGGGTCGGACCCGACTCGATGGCACTTAACAACAACAACAACAACAACCATGCAGCAATAGTTATCCCACTTCCTCCCTGTGGATCTAATTTCCATTTCACCCTCCTTCCCAACCCTTCTCAACTTTGTCCTTAGATAAAGGTTGCCCTTTTGATCTTAAATGGTTGATCATTCCATGGTGAAAATGCCTCACTAGTGTTGTTGTCCCCCCTATATATCTATCACTTGGCTGAAATTGGGCCATAGGGTTAATTCCACTACAGACCCTGAGGGGTGACCAAAGGCCATATTCTCAGTTTCCTTCTGTCTCTTTCTGGCCAGTAAACCTGATCTTCTAAACTTTTTAGCTTTGTTTCACATTTCTCCCACTCTCTCCAAAGCCTTTCAGAGAAGTTGGTAGTGGTAGTTGGACACCCTCTAGTTCTTTTGATCTCAGAGTTGTGGAGACTAATTAATTCCAGGCATCTTCAATTTTCATCCCTCTTCTTTCTTTCATACATGGAGAGACCAATAATTGTGCCTTGAATGACTGCTTGTAAGCTTTTAAAATCCTAGTCAATGCTCACCAAAGTAGGATGTAGAATATTGCCCCTGTAGATGATGTTTTGGCATGTAACCTTTTGGCACTGACTTCTTTCACTCAGCATGATACTTTTGTGTGTATAGCATTCCATTGTACAGATGTGGCATAGTTTGCTTAGCCATTCACCTTCATACAAATGAAGAACATTTGAGTTGTTTCCACTTTTTGGCATTTATGAACAGAGATCCTATAAAACATTTATATGAAAATAACCTCAACAGTGGGGTTACTGGATCATTTAACTACTTATATGTAAGAAACTGTCAAATAAAATTTCCAGAGTGATTGTACCATTTTGCGTTTTCACCAACAATCTATGAGAGTTCCAGTTGGTCCAGCCTCCCCAATACTTTACTGTCAGTATTTGACAATCTAATAGGTACATAGTGGTACTTCATTTTTTCAAGGGCTTGCTTGCCATCCTTTTATTATGTGTGTGATAGGTCTGTTCTTTCTCTTATGTTCACATTCTTGGTATGGGTGTGTATCTCGCTGTTGTTCCTCAGGTACTGCTTACAGAAATGGTTTCCAAACTGCTTTCCCTAACTCTCTTAGGTTAGTCATGCACTGGAGATGGCTTGCAGAATTCTGGAGAGCCAGTTGTTAAATTTTCAAAATTTCTGCAAGCTGGCTAAATCTTACTGGTAGCTTAAAACCAGGGTGGGAAAATTTACACCGTGGAAAACTACAAATACTACAAAGTAGGTGCCCATTCCCACCCCAGCAGATTTTAAACATTTACCAGCACACCATTGTCTTAGGGCCATGGAATTCTTAAAAGGTTCCTAAATTAATCTGTGCATGCATATTTTCTCAATCAACAAGTGCAAACATTACCTTGACAGAAACAAGGATGTCCAAAGAAATTAAAATATGGACACTTAGACTAAAAAAGTTTGGGATATATTAACTTACCTTGGGTTAATAAACTGCTTAATAGAGTGACTACATGCCCTACACCTGTTATCCCAACATAATTATCAAAAGTGTTCCCGTATGGGTAGATAGGGACAGGCAACTTAGACATTGGCTACCTAAAATGAAGGGGTGAAAAAGGCACAAAGTGACTGGCTTACAAGTTTTCAAGAAGGAGTTTAGTTTAAGAGTGTGTGGGGAAAGGTAGAGTCCCCACTGAATAATTTACATCTTGTCTAGATGGGTCTGGTGAAAAGAGATGGGGATAAGATTCTTATGATTCAATAATGAATTATTGATATTATGACTAGTTGCGACTGTCACAATTGTAAAGGTAGAAGTTTTGTAACAAAAATGGGGGAGTAGTTGATCTTCCAGTCCAGAAACAGAGAAGAGCACAAACGGAATGTGGGACCCTATACAAAGAAGCAGCAACACCAGAGATGGAGGCAGAGATGAGGACATGGAGAGAGAGAGCAGCTGAGGACTCTAGACTCATGGAAAGAGAAAGACTGAGTGCTGGCAGCCATGAGGCAGGCTTGCAGAATGTACCTGTTGATTCTTTAAATTATTACATATTCCTGAGTGTTTTTGTGCCCAGCAACAACAAAAACAGAGAGGCTAGAAGCAAATACTGTTGGACCATGATGCACGAAAGAGATTGGAATCATTGCAATGAAATGATGGTGTAAAACCGACATTCTCCCATGTAAACTATCACTCAATTCACAGTAAAAATTTTAAAAGAGAGAGAGAGAGAGAGATCATGTGACCAAAAAAAAAGTATCCATGTACGGGCAATAAGCTATATGGTTACCCTATTCTTTGATTACTCATCTTCTTTCCCCCACATTCTTCCTTAGAGAAAGAAAAAGATTTTTGTGGTTGTTTATGTGTTCAAAGTTCAATATTTTCTGTTCCTTAGGAATATATCCTATGGCTTGTGACCAGATCCTAGTCTCACTTTTTCCTGTGTATAGTAAACACAGCAGATTTTTATTCTCTTTTGTTTCTGTTTTCATTTAGATTTTTGAATAAGGACATGTGTGTGGTTGTTGGGAAGGCAGCCCACCATAGAACAGATCCTCAGATGAAACAGGCAACAATTATGACCACATTTCAGTTTAGAACCTTCTTATTAAGGAAGGTACTTCAGGCATGTTTATTAATAGGCAGATACAAACTTGGCAAGAGCACCTCTCAAAGTCACAGTTTTAATGTTTGTTTTTTGTTTTGTTTTGTTTGTTTTTTGAGGTCAACCAGAAGGCAGAGAACACTATGGTGGGGCCTTAACATCAAAATAATGACAACCAAGTTGTTGGCTTTATTTCTTCTATCAAATCAAACATACCTGTCACCCCCTCTGCTTCTGTCCTCTCAGAAACAAGGAGAAGGTGAGGTTTCAACACATTATTAGTCTAGACCACACATGGCATTTGCTTTTACAGTGGGTAAGGCCTCCCACGCAAGTGTAGACTTGGACAAAATGGTGGCGATATTCTCTGTGCCAAATCCTCTAACCTCTGCTGTGTCCAGTCTAAATCTTGAAGTGTCTGATCCTCCCTGGGCATGGGCGAGCCACTGGGGTAACAGGCCTAGGCCCCACCACCACAGGTGGTTTCCTATGGTGGAATGCTTCTCCGGAGGTGGACTCCACTGAGGCCACACCTGTGAAGGCATGGCGCAGGTCATAATGCGCCCGGTGCACTGGGGGTGGTTGGGGAGCTGCCACTACCACGGGTCCACCCACCAGGGCAGCCACTGGTGGGTTAGCTGGAGAGGGCGCTGGAGCAGCTGCATCCACTTCCACGTTGGGACCACTTGGTTGTGGCTGCAGAACTGCAGGCTGGAAAGAAGACCATTTCCTTAAGTTAGTTTGATTCTTCCCTTCAGAGAAGGTCACCCACAATTCTGTGTGGAGCTCCTATCTCTCACCAAATCATCCCATAGTACTCATTTTTAAATTCAAGGGGTCTGATCCAGATGATTGCTACCAGCATTTCAGGGCAGGGGTAACTGGCCCCTGTCTTACTAGGGTTGTCTTTGTTGCGGTGGACTTACATTTGCGTGTCCCACCATAACGTATGACTAACCTTAGCCAAAAGTGCCACCCTCATTATCATTTACATCTGCAGCCACTAGGAGCTGTCGGGCTGTTCTGGCCACCTGGTTTCTACTATTTAAAAGACCACCACCACAAATAAAAAGATGGCTTTGTCAGCTACATACTAAGATGGTTCTGCCCTGGTCAGCCTTCAGTTCTTAGCTAAAATATGCAGCCCTTTGTTGATGATTATGCATACCCCAACATTACTGATACTGTGAGGTTCAAAAGACACAAAAACGCTGTAATTATTAACACACTGCACGAATGTTAAGGGATCATTGTATTATGAAGATCAAGGCAAGTATACCTGTGTTTGGAACACTGTGCAGGTCACTGCAACATCTTCCCCATCAGGCTTCTCAGTGAGCGTCGCCTTACAGAAGCCATAATGCTGCCCAGAAAAAAAGAGGAGTGATTTCACCTGATTAAAATGTAGACTTCTCCCCCAGTTTCACTGATACTCTGATACATCAAGGCAAAACAAAAACATCAAAATTACTAATTCCCTTTCTTTAAAAAAAAAATCATTTTTTCTTAAAGTTGATTATTTCTTAAAGTTTACATGAAAGATATATAATCTACCATCTATACATTATATGTTGTTGTTGTTATGTGCTGTGGCGTCCGTTCCAACTCATAGCGACCTTGTACAGGGTTTCCAAGGCTATAAATCTTTATAGGAGCAGAAAGCCTCATCTTTCTCCCGTGGAACAGCTGGTAGTTTCGAACTGCTGACTCTGAGGTTTGCAACCACTAGAGCAAGAAAAATCACATAATCCCAGAAATGGCGGTAGCAAAGAATAACTACTGCTTCCATTGACGTATTTCTTTTTTACTTAAAATTTTATTTTATTTTATCTTATATGAGACTATACATTACATTGTTTCAACAAATTTTACATGTACAATTCAGTGACTTTTTTTACATTCTTCAAGTTGCAAAATCATTCTTATTATCCCTTTCGAAATTATTCCACTACCATCAGCATAAACTCACTGCCCCCTAGTTTCTCATCTAAATTCCTGAACTGCTTTTGTTGATATGCTCCCACATAGATAAATCTTTGAAAGAGCACAGTATTCAAGGCATTCATTGCTATTGTTTTGAAGTGCCATTGAGTCAGTCCCAACTCATAGCTACATGATATAGGGTTTCCAAGGAGTAGCTGGTAGGTTTGAACTGCTTACCTGGTGGTTGGCATTCTGGTGCTGATCCTACAGTGTCATTCCAGGATGCCATACTTTACTAATAAAGCTAATGAATGATTCGTTCACAGACTTCTGGTGTGGTGCTGTAGGATCAGCTGTGGACTACAAACCACCAGGTCAGCAGTTCAAACCCACCAGCTGCTCCTCGGAAACCCTATACAGGGTCACTATGACTGGACAGCAGTTAACAACAACAACACTGTTGGTTCAAAGCAGACTTCCGGGGAAAGTTTTGATTTGAGGTTTAAGATTTAAAGATTATCTCAAGGCAGCAGTTTCGGGTATTCATTTAGTCTCAATGACTCCAGAAAGTTTGTCTTTCTTACTTTTAAATACATAAAACTTACTGCCAATGAGTTGATTCCAACTCACAGTGATCCTACAGGACAGAGCAGAACTGCTCCTTAGGGTTTCCGAGATGGTATGGCTTTATGGAAATAAAAAGGTAACCTCATCATTCTCTCTCTAAGCAACTGGTGGATTTGATCCACAGACTATGTAGTTAACAGCCCAGCACCTAACCCACAGTACCATTAGGGCTCCTTTTAAATATATAGTATATATTACATATCATTTCAAGTTGGGTCATTCTGACTGTACCCTTTTGTATCCTGTGTTTTTTACATATTACATTAGTATTTTCTCATATGTCATTATTCTTTGAAATTATACTTTTCTAGTGTCTGTATGATTTTCTATTTACTGATTGCCATATTTTATTCAATCACCATCCTGTTGAACACTTAGATCTTTTTTTTTTTTCCTTTTGCCAGTTAATCTCTCTTAAAAACCATCCCTGTAACTATGAGTCAGAACCAACTCAATGGCACTTAGTAACAACAATAAACATATTTCTGTGAGGCATTTCTGATGATCTCTTTAAGCTAACTTCCTAGAAGTAGATATTATTGGGTCAAGGACTTGAACGTTTTCACATCAGAGGTTTACCTAGAAAAACCGACATTCACACTACCAGCAGCCAGGTCTGACTTGGCTTCATTAGGAAACAGCATTTTCTTTCTCTTAACTCCATGGACCTCCAATGGGTGAGATAATTTGATGATGACCCTAAAAGTGTGGGAGTCTCTGAGTAGTGTGAATTGTTAGTGCATGCTTAACTGCTAAGAGGCTGACAATTCAAGGCCACACAGAGGCACTTCAGAAAAAAAGTCCATTGAAAACCCATGGGATGCAGGTTTATTTTCACATGCATAAGGTCGCCATGTGTCAGAATCACTCAGCAGCAAATGATTTTGGTTTATTTTTTAAAGGGTGGAAAGAGAAGGGAAAAGCTAGAGGAAGGTCTACTCTGACCCAGCCAATACGAAGTAGTGTTTTGTGCTATTTTGTGCTACTGTTTCCTTTCCACAGCCCCAGAATATGAGTTTGTGGAAAAGTTCAATTATTTTTTAATTCCATTTTTCCATGAACTTTTGGAAGCATCCTCATATCCATCAGTGTTCAAGAGCAAATGTATCAGCTTGAGGACTAAGGTGTGCCTGACCCAAGCCATGATGTTTTCAATAGGCTCATATGCACATGATGCATTTGAGTTATGGTGTTGGAGGAGAATATTAAAGGTACTGTGAACTGCCTGAAGAACAAACAAATCTGTGTTGGAAGAAGTACAGCCAGAATGCTGCTTAGAAGCCAAGATAACAACATTTCATCTCTCATACTTCAGACATATTATCAGAAAGGACCAGTCCCCATTATGCGTGGTATAGTGGGGGTCAGTGAAAAAGAGGAAGACCCCCAATGAGATGGATTGGCAAAGTGGAGGCAGAAATGGGCTCAAGCATAACAAAAACGGTGAGGATAGTGCAGGACCAGATAGTGTTTCACTCTGTTATGCACAGAAATAAGGTTGCTATGAGTTAGAACTGACTGGGCGGCACCTAACAACATACAAACCAGAGTAGGATGCTCTATCCTGCGACTGACTTTGTCTGAACAGACAAACTTACCTTTTCTGCCTGCAGGTTGCAGTTGGCTGGGTCCACGACATCTTTAGTAGCACAATCAGTAGCAACCACTGCAAACTCCACATAGGTAGAAACTGGAAGAGGCTGATTAAAATATAAGAAAATACTCTTAAGACAACATGACTCAGTCTAGAAAAGGAAGGGGAGGAAAGGCTGGAGGGAAGTAGTGAGGTCTCTGCATTGCAGCTCCAGGGAGCACCATGCGCAAGTGGCCCAGGAAGAACCTCTTGAATTGTGTTCTGAAGTGCTCTATTACAGAGATGTTATGTGTATAGGGAGTTGGGACTTCCCTGAAGCAGGTGCAGGTATCCAGTGCCCATCATTCAGGGTGAGGCACAGGAACTCAGCTGGCAGAGCCCTCGATTGACATTTTGAGCCCCGTGGTTCACTTTACTCCAGAATGGGGTGAGAAAGTAAAGGGATTGATATCTCTGCCACCTATTTCATAGAGCAGGATCGAATGAAAATTTAGATAAAAACGTGGAACAGATGAATAAAAAATAATAAAGTATCTGTTATTTGGTATAATCTGAGATTCTTTAGTATAGTCTGAGAAATCACATATTCTAGTTAATAGAATTACCAGCTATGCCACGCATTTTCATGTATGTTGTCACTGGTATGCAGAATATCAATTTTTGTTCTTTAATATTAGAATTCTATTCCATCCAAATATATTAAACTCGGAACAGGTATCCCACTGTGATTCCAAAGGCATTTCAGAATCCTGCCATGAAGTGTCAGTCAGCATAAGGAGGCTCATGCCATTGTAAGTATCCGTAATGAGCGTTCTCTAGTTGTTCACAGGCGATAAGGATGTAGCAACCAGAGACTTTACCGTGCTAGGTTTTGGATAATGTAGGAACATCTCACCCACTAAACACTTAACTCTGGTTTTAACTAGGGCTGAAGAACCGTGCATATGTCTGCCACAGCCTGCGATGGTTTCGCATTAAAGCGGCACAACAAAGAGGAGGCACTGACGTTCTTTGTGTCCTCATGGTGTAGACCGGCACAGTATCTTTTCTTCCCATTGTCTCCCACCATCCCAAGCTCTGTCCTGTGCCTCACCCCTACTTCACCACACACATTCCCCCAAAACTGCCGCCAAACAGCCCAACCTTAAACATCTCTCAGTCTTTACCACACGTTTAGCTCGGGAAATTTCCACAAGCTGATAGGAGCCGTTGCTCTGAGCATTGAAGGCTGTCAGGGCAGCGTCTACGGCGTGCACCACCTTGGTGTCGTTAAGCCGGGCCAGCAGGGGGCAATTTGGGCACAGTTTGCGCACGTCCTCCGCAGAGTCTACGCAGAGAGAGAAGAAATTGGTATCATGGCTATGCTTCTTCGTGGCAATCACCCCAGCTCTTCTTGCTTACAAAGGGTTAATATAGGCTCCAAATAGCTTCAGGCATTTTCTCTACTTCTTACTAAACCTTTAATTGGCTCCAGACATGCTGATATTTCTGCTCTTTTCTAGGAACAATTTTAAATTCCCGTAAGAACAGCTCTTTTGAAATCCTAGAATCCATGAAGTTTGACTTTGACTTTTCCTCACCAACAAATTGTTGAGGAGTCTCTGGGTGGTGCAAATGTTGAAAGTACTTAGCTGCTAATGGAAAGGTTGGAGGTTCAAGTCCACCCAAAAACATTCGGTGATCTACTTCTAAAAAAACTCAGCAACTGAAAAACCTAATTGGAGCTCAGTTCTACTCTGACACACATGGGCTCATCAAGTGCCAAAATTAACTTGATGGCAACTGACTTTTACTTAGGTTGAAAACAATTCCAAGTCCTTCTACACTCTCTCTACATGGGTAGAAGAAAAAGAATCATCTCTACCTGGGCTGGAATCACATTTTGCATACAACACAGTAAACTGGCCATCTTGCTTCAGCACCCGGATATCGCAGTCTCCTTCCACTGCCTGGAAAAATAGAGACTCATATTGAGGGTCCTGGAGGAGAGACTAGTCTGTTACTTATCACTGGGCGAGAGATCCCTCCAGGCATGGCTGTCAAAGGTGTCCCCCAAACCTCTCCTCTGGGTAATGTTAAAATCCTACATTTGCTTTCTGAGAGACCTGCCACAAGAAATCTGAACTGTTGTAAACATCTGCATCAAGGAACGCTGCTTCACGAGGCTTCTCTGGGCAATTTTATAGGTAAATGGACCTGCCCTTTGCTGAACCAAGGTGGGTCTGGCGCAGGGTACCAGCGCAGTCGCCGGAAGAGAACACTCACATGCTCCGACAACTGCCTCACGGTGCAGTTTGCTACAGGGGTGGGGTCCAGGGCATAGCAGGTTGTTTCCAGCGTGTCTATTTCAAGTTCAAACACCTCTCCCATGGGCCGCTGTAGAGAAACAGAAGGAATAGGTGAGCAGTCTTGGTTCCTGATCCCGTGGTCTGGTCCAAAGTGCCAGTCCTCTTGGGGTCAACTGCCCCGTGCCTTTTTTGGAAAGGTAGGGGAAAAGTCATTCCTTCTAGTAGTTTACAGCTCTGTCTCTAACTCTGAAGTGGTCTGTGGACAAGACTGTGACCATGCATCTGTCATCTTCCTCTCCTGACTTCATGGCTAGTGCCAGAATGAAAAACATATTACAAGTGGCCTTCTTAGTTACATTGTATCGTTACCTGCCCACCCCATCCCCACTCCTGTATGATCGATATATATGGAGGTTGATGGGAACTGTAGACCTAACTCTAAGCTCTTTTGGAAGCTGATGATGAATGTCGATATTTATTGTTAAATTTTAAATTTTCACTTTCCAAGCAGTATTTCAAATTTCAAGTCAGCTTTGGATTTTTTTCAATCAAGCAGTCAAGTAAGGTGATATAGGAAAATACCTAATTACTTTTCTTCATCATCTATATTCCTCCTTCTGCCTATTTGTTCCCTCTCTCTCATCATCTATTTTCCTTCCTTCTCCATTTTCTTTTCCTAATGGCTTGTGTTGCTGTCCTTGGCTTACACACAGACACACACACACACTTTGGGTGGGGGGAGAAGGAGAGACATGGAAGTGTCTGGAAGCAAAATTTGTGTTCTCTACTGCCCAGTGCTGGTAGTGAGAGGGAAGAGTGTCAGGACCCATAGAAGGCAAGGAGTTGTGTGGAAGACAGGGATAGGAAGACTTGTATAACTTCTTGGAGTTGTTCTTGCAGCTCACGTGTCTGCATCCTTTCTTAAAAGCTGGTAAAATCCAGACCATACAAGAATGCTTTTTTTCCCCTCTCAGCCCCAGTTCTGTCTGCTTACTTCTCATTTTATTTCTTTTCCTGGAGGAAGTTCTGCATTTTATGACATGTAGATGTATTAGTGTTAGCTTTCTGAAAATGCTAAGAGCTGCTTCAACAGGGGCCAGGCCCTCTTAGGTTCTCAAGGAAAGTTATGTAAAGCTCTTCCTTTAGTGAAAATAGTCACCCCCATTCATTTTATGCTTCAAAAGTGTACTTTGTTTGTATGCTATTTCTACTGAATTGATCAGTCTTTCCGCTGAACCACCATTGTCCTTTATAATATAGTTTGTTGTTGTTATGTGCTGTGGAGTAGGTTCTGACTCATAGCAACCCTGTACAGAGGTTGTATATCTTTACAGGAGCAGAAAGCCTCATCTTTCTCCTGCAGAACAGCTGGTAGTTTAGAACTGGTGACCTTAAGGTTCACAGCCTGATTCATAACCACTACGCTACCAGAGCTCCTTATAATTTAAGCACCCCTAAAAGTGGTTATGAATCAGGATGCTAACCTCAGGGCCAGCAGTGCAAAACTACCAGTTGTTCCATGGGAAAAAGATGAGACTTTCTGCTCCTTTAAAGATTTACAGCCTTGGAAACCCTGTACAGGGTCGCTATGAGCTGGAACCAACTCCACGACACATAGCCACCAACTGCCAAAATCTACCTGGAACAATCCTGACTTTAAATATTGTGAGAACAGATGTCAGTCAAGTCAGACATCCCAAAGTTTATTTTCGCTCCTAGATTTTACGTCTCTGATAGGCACAAACTATGCCTTTCTCATGTCTGTATTAGGATGAACCATGTAAAATTGGCAACATTTAACTGATTTTGACCTATAAAGAGGGTAATTTAAAATGATGCAACCTAATATCTCCCATACCACTGCACATTGAGCCTTGCACGCGAAGGCTTTACTGAAAATAATTATCCTTAATCAGATATAAAACCTAATTTAAGAATAGGCGGTAGACAGATGCCTTTTTCCCAGCTCTCCAAATCTCTCAAGCGATCCCCAATGTGTACTTTCCAGATTTATCTTTATTGTCACTGGTTTCTGATTGCATCATCTTCTTGTGTAGCATGTGAGGAAGCAGATCCTATTTGTACCAAGACTTCTCCCTGAGATATGGGCAGCTTGCATAGAGGAAAGAACTCAGGTATGGGATCAAATCACAATCTCTGTTCTTATTAGTTATATGGCCTCAAGGGAAACAATGACAGTATGTCAGAGCCTTGATTTTCCCTCATGTAACACAGAGACAATATGCCTACTACACAGGATGCATGTGAGGGGGGTGGCTAATGACATGATATAGTAAAAGAGCCTGGCACATAGCTGGCACTTGTGAAGTGTTTGTTTCCTCCATTCTCAGTCTTCCTCACATCGTAGAGAGACATGGAGGTCAAGAAAGAGAAGTGATAACTTGGCAAACACTCTCAAAAGCCAGTCCTTTTTGTGTGTGTGTCTTACAGTTTCTAGCAAGACACACTTTCCACTTGTGATATTCAGAATATCATTTAAGACCTTTTCTTCTCCTACGTACCTCCCTTCCCTACCAGCACCCTTCTGAGGCCCCAGAATACAGGACAGAATGACTCCTCTCTTGTCCTCCTCCTGCCCCTCCTTTACTTCTGGGAGAAACCAGAGAGTTTACCCTTTTTGTGATTTTCTTTGTAATGAGAGATGCTGATCTTTTGAGGCACCCGGTTGAGCCTTGGTAAGTAACGTCCACTTACCCGAGGCCACACCCTCACTTTGTCAATCTGGTTCAGGGCATGCTTGTATCCTCGTTGAAGGTTTGCATTGAGGTAGTCCACAGCCACCTGGGCTACTTGCTCAGTTTCTGGATCATCACAGCTCAGTTCCCTGTAGGTCATGCCCAGGTTTGGTGGGGCAGAGTGGCAGCCCCAGAGCTGTGCCAAGCACAGAAGCAGGGCGAGCGACTTCATGGCTATCCCAGGGATGCCCTCGCAGGTGGGCAGGTGGCAAATGGCTGGAGGCCTCAGACCAACTCAGGTCCTCTTCTGTAAAAGGTAGACTGATGGAGGGTGGGAGTTCTGTATTTATAAGTTGGAGCCTGTGGGAGGAATTGTGTAAGAACTTGGAATGTTTTCTGTTCCAGTTCCACGAAAATCCCTGCAAACATGAGCCCTGGAAAAGCAAACAGGTTAGGACATCAGTGGTCCTCCAAAAATCAGCCAAAGTCAATCCTGCTTTGGGCAGATGCTCCAAAGTCTGCTTGGAAAGTGGGGACAGCAGCCAAGGAAGTGACTGAGGGGGCCGGAAGCACAGCCCCAGAGTGAGTGTTCTCTGTCGTGATCTGAGAACATCACCGGGCCTGTGAGGGAGCAGGAGTGTTCCCCTCAAGTTGACTTGCTGGGCTGAAAATCAATCAGTGGAGTCCACTGATGTCAGGGAGATTATTTCCTCCAAGAGAGGCATTAGAAAGAAAACAAGGACCATATGAGGGGACTTCAAAAAGCGGGTGGAAAAAAGGAATGAAAAGATATTAATATTTTCCCAAAAAAGGTTTTGAAGCCCCCTCATAAATGCAGCAAAGACACAGATGAGTAAGAGTGAGAAGAGTGAATTTATGGGAGATGGTAATAACTTTAGAGAAAAGAAGGGAGTTTTGTTGGCTAAAGTAGAGGTTCGGAATGAGAGAAGAAGGTCCTGTAGCAGAACCAAGGAGGGATATGACCAGGAGAGAAAGTGGGGTTTACTTATTCTGCTCTGTCCAGTTCTCATTATCAGGGCATTGGGGGTGACAACGAGGATCTCCTAGGTGACTGAATGTGATTGGAGTCAGGGCCCAGTGCCCAGGCTGAGGCACAAGAACAGCAGAGGGGAGCCCTGAGCTAACAGTCACCACTTACAAAGATGTGGGTTTCAGTAAGCTAAAAACTGAATTGGATGCTAAACACACAAACACTTGCTTCGCACCCTTTACAGCTTCAGCAGAACCATAGTGTGTCCTTTTTTTGGCGTAGACCACAGAGACACTATGCTGGTTTTCGGCAATACCTGTTTTTTCTTTTACTTCTTTTTTGGAGAAAATTCACCGACTGCCATCGAGTAGATTCTGACTCAAAGCTACCCTCTAGGGCAGAGTAGAACTGCTCCTTAGGGTTTCCAATGCTGCACATCCTTACAGGACCAGACATCTCCTCTTTCTCCCACAAAGAAGCTGGTGGGTGTGAACCACCGACCTTGTCGTTAGCAGCCCAACGCTGAACCCACCATAAAAATACATACAACAACTTCCACATATATAATTCAGTGACATCGGTTGCATTCTTCAAGTTGTGCCATTTCTCTCAACAACCTTTTCCAATTGGTACCACCTTTTAAGATGTCCTTGACAAGCCCAGGTAAGCCCTTCGGGAGGGAGGGCAGGCTAGGGAGAGCTTGGAAAATGTCATATGAGGATTTAGCAAAGAGATCAACATTTAGCATGGAGACCAACATGCTCTTCAAATATTTAGAGGTCATCAGTGTGTGTGGGTGGATTTGCCCTGTTGTTCCATATTGCTTCAGAGACCAAAACTTAGTTAAAAACAGCACACACACACACAAAAAGAGGGGGCCCTCCAAAGGGAGTTAAATTATATTGATTTTGTGGGGGGGTTAGGGAGGGGTTGGTGGGGATGGGAGAGGCAAAGGGAAGAGAAGATGGTTACAAGTAATGTTTTCACATTTACACTCAGCTGCTCCTCTGCTTGTACAGAATCTTAATGACAGAGGTCAGAAAATGTGGTCAGTGTTCGAAGTTGTGTCTGCGGGTGATATTGGCTCTTAGAGATACAAAATGAGCTCTGGTATCTAGAAAGATGATCCTCATAACCAGTAGCAACTTTCTACTAGTTTTAAACCCCATTTTTCTTCAGAGCCCTGACTTGTGAGCAACTTTTTTTTAGTAAGTAACATGCTTTTCTTTAAATTAACCTTTAAAAAATACAAAATATGGCCATTACTGAAAGTTGAAAAATAAAAAGTATACATCTGCAGTAAGTTCAAATGTGTAAAATAAAACTTTACTTTCCACAATGCAATTGGATTTCTGCCTATGACTCTTCATGAAAATTTCGTCCCATCATTCCCAGATAGCCTGATTTCCAAGATACTTTGGTTGAGACCCAGCCATGTTTCCCCTTCATTTTTCTTCTCCTCATTGGAATTAAAGGTAAGCTTGAAGTTACAGTGTTGGGGGAAGACTTAGGCAAATGTTCCTTTAGCAAGTGAAGGGAAAGGGTTCACTTCCTTGACCTTGTTTGGTAAGGGCCTTTGCTGGCATTTATTGCCAGGTGTGGTACTGTAGGATAAGCACTGGCCCACAAGGTCTGCTTTGAACCTCAAGATCGGCAGTTCTAATCTACCAGTCGCTCCTTGGAAACCCTATACAGGGTAACTATGAGTCGGAACCAATTCCACAGCACTTAACAACAACAACCTGTTCACCTGGCATGTCTATCTGTGAGCTAGCATCATGTTTGTTTCCATTTAGTCCTGGAGAGAAAGTCCACCTTTATCCTCTGACTATGGTTAGCTGCCATCAAGTTGGTTCCAACTCATATGCACCTGTGTACAACAGAATGAAGCATTGTCCGGTCAAGCAACATCCTTGTTTGAGCCCATTGTTGCAGCCACTGTGCCAATCCATCTCACTGAGAGTCTTCCTCTTGGTGCCCTTGATTCTAGCTGTGACAGCTTCTAGACCACAAGTTTTCTCCCAGTTAAGTTCAGTACCCCTCTGTCTTTGAATATGGGAATATATGGCTGCTGTGGCACACAGGGTGGTGGAGAGGTGGGGGGTCCATGAAGCTGCTTTCAAGCCCATCTGCCTAGACATTTCCTGTAAGCATGACCCCCACTTCTCTGGTGACACCCCACTACAGTCTTCCCTCTGTACAATGTGATATTGCCCTGTGCTACCCCAAGGGAAGTGATTTGGAGTTTCCTCTGCTCTCAGACCTTCACATTGATATAGAGGGAGCTACATTTTGCCATGTGAGTCTAAGGATTCAGGGAGAGAAAAAACTGATCAAAACTTTTTTCTGATCATTTCTATCTCATACTCAGAGCTTAGCTTTTGAGTTTAGACACCAAGGGTTTGGTATCTTTATTCTTAGCTCTTCTATTGGTGATAACTAAAGCATTAGTTATTTTCCTATTTAGCTGTTGTTATGAAACAAGGAATTAAGTGAAGAGCAATTAATACCCACAATTATCCTAAGTCATATGTCGTTGTTGCTGTTAAGTACCGTCAAGTCGATTCTGACTCACAGTGACCCTGTATAGGTTTTCCAACGTGCAGCTGGTGGATTTGAACCATCAACCTTATGGTTAGTAGTCCAGTGCTGATCCTATAGTGCCAGGAGTTCACTATGTCATACAGACAAAAACTAAACAAAACCTCCTGCCAGTGAGTCGATTCGGACTCACAGCAACTCTACAGAGGTTTCAGAGACTGTAAATCTTTATGGGGACAGACAATTCCATCTTTCTACCTCAGAGCAACTGGTGGGTTTGAACTGCCAACCTTGTACTTAGCAGCTCAATGCCTAACTCACAGTGCCACCAGGGCTCCTACCTCAAAGAGACAGAGAGATTAATACAGAGATAAGCAGTATGAATACATGGTGAAACCCACCTTGCTTTCTTTCTATAAACATTTTAATAAAATTTATATCATATTGCATATCTACCACTCATCAGTCAATTTGTCGTACTATGGTGCCTGCTGTGTTCTGTGATGCTGAAAGTTACGTCACTGGTATTTGAAGTATCAGCAGGGTCACACATGGCGGACAGGTTTCAGCAAAGCTTCCAGAATAAGACAGACCAGGAGAATCAGACTACTTCTAAATGTTTAGCCACTGAAACCTTATGAATAATAGTCATAATGCTGGAAGATGAGCCCTCCAGTTGGAAGGCACTCAAAGGACAACTGGGGAAGTGCCTCCTTCTCAAAGTAGAGTTGACCATGATGACACAAATGAAGTAAAGCTTTGGGATCTTCATTTGTTGGTGGGGCACAATCCAAAATGAGGAGAAACAGCTAAAACATCCATTAGTAATTAGAACATGGAATGTACCAAGTTAGAATCTTGGAAAATTAGAAGCTGTCAAAAATGAAGTGGAACAAATAAACATCTATATCCTAGGCATTGTTGTTGTTGTTTTAGGTGCCATCGAGTCGGTACCAACTCATAGTGACTTTATACACAGCAGAATGAAACACTGCCCAATCCTGAGCCAACCTCACTATACTGTTGCCACGCTTGAGACCATTGATGCTGCTACTTGGCCAAACCATCTCTCTGGGGGTCTTCCTCTTTTTCTCTGACCATCCACCTTACCAAACATGATATCCTTCTCCAGTGACTGGTCCCTCCTGACAATATGTCCGAACTATGAGAGACAAAGTTTGGCCATCCTGGCCTCCAAGGAGCATTCTGGCTGCACTTCTTCCAAAACGGGTCTATTGGTTCTCTTGGCAGCCCATGGCACTTTCAGTATTCTCCTCCAACACCATAACTCAAAAGCATCAATTCTTCCACGGTCTTCCTTATTCACTGTCCAGCTTTCACATGCATATGAGGTTATTGAAAATACCATGGCTTGGGTCAGGCACACCTTATTCTTCAAGCTGACATCTTTGCTTTTCAACACTTTAAAAAGGTCTTGTGCAGCAGATTTTTCTAATGCAATACGTTGTTTGATTTCTTGACTGCTGCTTCTATGAGTGTTCACAGTTGATCCAAGAAGAATGAAGTCCTTGACAACTTCTATCTTTTCTCCATTGATAAGAATGCTATTTATTGGTCCAGTGGTTAGGATTTTTGTTTTCTTTACATTGAGATGTAATCCATACTGAAGACTGTGCTCTTTGATATTCATCAGTAAATATTTTAAGTCTTCTTCGCTTTCAGCAAGCAAGGTTGTATCATCTGCATATCACAGGTTGTTAATGAATCTTCCTCCAATCCTAATGTTGTTATTAGGTGCCATGAAATCGGTTCCAACTCATAGCAACCCAGTGCACAACAGAACAAAACACTGTCCGGTTCTTCACCATCCTCACA